AATCCTGTAAGACGTTTTGCCGGAATTGTTTCGCATCTTATGAAAACTGCACATCACAATCCGAGTGCATTTTTATTCAAAATTTCAATTTGCAGGGAGCAACTTGAAGAAATTGCGCGGCATACGCCGCCACCGTCGGAGCGTCTCGCACAGCTACCACCGCCGCCAAATTAGGAGGATTTTATAAAGGAGCCGCGCAAGCCAAGAAAACGTTCGCCTGGTGATGAACCTTTCAGAACACCGCGCGGCGGGAAAACTGAACGCGGCGATCTAAAGCGCGACGATCTTTGATTACAGTTATTATTGTCGCATATTCTGTTTTAAATGCAATATAGATTTTGTAGATTTCCCATCCATTTCTCGTCCAAATGCAATACAGATGCAATATAGATTTCCCGTCCAAATGCAATATAGATTTCCCGTCCATATAGAACTCAAAGATTTTAAACTCAGCCCTCAACTATGCACATTTCCCGCGTACGGCCGCGTGAGAGTTCCTGGCGCGGAAATCGCTAGCTTGGGAACCAAGAAAGCTAGAGGGCTGAAACTTTCAGGAAATGTTCCCAACTCATCTACAATTTAAATTTATCAAATTCAACCCTCCACTATGCGTGGTTGCCATGTACGGCCCCGTGAAATTTTCTGGCTGTAATTTGGACAACTCGGGAACTGAGAAAGCTGGGAACCTGAGATGTTAAGGGTATGTTCGCTGTCCAAGTATAGTGGTCTTATTACAGCACGAAAAATTGCAAAACCGCATAATCGCACGAGCACGCCCAGTGCGCGTCGCCAACGATTTTTTTGTAACCGGGCAGCAGAAGTAGTCCGCCCGGGGAAGCATGCATGTAAATATAACCAGGGGGAAACAAAAATGAGAGGCGAAGTAAAAAAAAATAAAAAGCAACGCGCACCAGACTAGCCGGTGCGACCATGCGTTTCGTGCAATTCAGCTCATCAACGATTGCCTATTAATAATTTTCACTGCTTTGTACTTTAGTCTATGCAAAAATAGTTCAAACATTAGAAAGCAGTTCAAAATTTCACGCACCAGCGCATGAAAGCTGAATTCGAGACCTTGAAGGGTGAATATCTTTATCCCGAATTAATAGTTTACTCGCCTAAATTTTCACGAGGCCGTAGGTGATACTTAACAGCGCGGGAAAACTGAATTTGAATAGGTAAGGTTGAGCGTGGGCAGAGGGTTATCACCGTAAAATTTCAGTCTCCTAGACTCCGTGGTTCCCGAGATATTAATTTACCCGTAAAAAAACTTTCACGGGGCCGAACATGTTACTCGCGGGTACGGGAAGGCTGAATTTTAATTTGCGGGGTTACATATGGGTAGGGAACGTTCCCCTAAATTTTCAGCTTCCTAGCTTTTGTGGTTCTCGAATTGAAAGTTGCGGACAAATTCCTGCGGACACACACAAACACACACACACAGACAACCCCGTAACAATATGCGTCTTGTACTGCTGTTACATAGCACAAAACGCATAAAAAAACCGATGTCAGTCTTTTTTTCAAGGCGGAGTATTCTGATCGTATTTAAAACATTATTATGAGAGCTCCCTTGTCTTTCACTGTCTGTGACAAGTGGAGACACTGGGCAGTGGTCTAAGCATAATCACTCAATTTGCCAGCAACGACCACTGCAGAAAACGATTTCGATCGTCTTCTGATACAAGAATTGCTTAAGCGCAAGCTAAAAACAATTTCATTTTTGGCAAACTCCACAAGCAGTTACAATGAACAATCGAAACAAAATTTCTGCCAGTAAGTAGAAAAAGGAAAAAGATATTACTAATTTTATTTCTTTTTCGACTTGGATGATAAAGGTGAGCAGCATATTCAGGTATCAAACAAACATCATGGACATGCTCTTTCTGCTGGTGTCTTGTATTCATCTCCTGGGAAACCAAAGTTCGACTTAAAATATTCAATGTAATATTACTTCCGAAAATTTCTTATGACCTTTTTCCAAAATTAGGTGGAAAAAGCGTTACCTTCGTTGTAGAACTGATTCCGGTACCACTGCCTGCCTTGTTCGGTAGTAAGTGAACGTGGGCATGCTAAAAAATACAAGAACGTAAGCAAATGCGTGTCACAATTTTTTATGGTGTTCACTAGTAAAGACATTTCAGCGTTTTACACTGACTTCTGAACTTCCTACAGATCATTTCGCGGTAACATATCGATGATAATCGTTCATCTAATAGCAAAGTAAGGGTTTTTTTTCGACTTACTGGTAGAAATTTTGTTTCGATTGTTCATTGTAACTGCTTGTGGAGTTTGCCAAAAATGAAATTGTTTTTAGCTTGCGCTTAAGCAATTCTTGTATCAGAAGACGATCGAAATCGTTTTCTGCAGTGGTCGTTGCTGGCAAATTGAGTGATTCACCAAGTGTTGGACGGTTGCTTTGCTTTCTTTTCGTGATAGAAGCCCGGCATAGCTATGTTGCCGCCCCGGTGATGCCAATATAACATGAGTTTCCTGCCTCAATTGTCCAAGCAGTTTCAGTGATTTTACCTTTTCCTTTTCGTGATGGAAGCTCGATATAGCTGTGTTGCCGCTCCAGTGGTGTTCATTTAACATGAGTTCCCTGCCTCAATTGTCCGAGCAGTTTCAGTAATTTTACTGATATAATGTGATCAAGTGATTTTTGCCTTGCCTTTATTGGTTGAAAGCAGTATTTTGATCCGCGAATTTATTCCGCGGGGAAGGAAATGACTAGTACGATGGTACTTCAGGGATTTAGTTTGCATACGGCATGGCAGCGCTAGGAAGAGTGTGTGAAATCACTATTTAGGAGCAGGATCAGCGGAATCACAGGCGAAAAAAGGTTTGTTATGCTAAATTCAGCTGAGCCTGCATTCTCACTGGTGAATTTTGATGACCTTGGTAGCTACAGAAATGGTAAATTTTAATGATTTTCAGCGATCTGAACAGTCCGCGATGTTCACGAAGCTACAGGTCTTCGTGTTGGTTGCGGTTTTACTCATTGCGGTCTCGGAGTTTACCGAGGTTATCAACTTTTCTATGGGAGGAAATTAGGCTGAAAGTTTTCCAGAATAATTCAAATGACATCCTGTATTACCAGAGGTGTCAAAATTGAGTTGTGTGGTACCAAAGAGACGATTAAATAAAACTATGATGAGACTATGGAGCGCCAGAGGGCCATTTAAGTGAGTGCCCAGGGATTTTAACAGGCTTGGGCCGGAGGGAGCGAATGAAATCCAATATTCGATTCAACCGGTGGACTCTGTTCTGCGCGGAGCCAAGGCCAGCCAGGGTTTCGTACCTTGAACAACCGTAATTGCATAATCATGCACTTACATCAGCTAAGTAGTAATTCTATAATTATCCAAGTGCAGTGTACGGCACTCTACGATACCACACTTCGCGAAGACATTGCTCACAGTGTTTTCCTTGCATTTTCACGCGTTAATTCGATGAATTTAGGCAAAAAGACATCGCAAAAAGAAAACGAGCTGCAGAAAAAAGTGTCAAGACTACTGGAACTGTGTGGAGCTCCTCGGCAACGAGCATTGCAAGTTTCCACCTCGTTGTTCTTGCTCTCAATACACAGTCAAACAACAAACATAGCCTCGGAAGAACAGGGCGTTGGGTGAAGCCAGCTTGTGATAAAAATAATACAAGCTAAGCATAGCAAATTTTAATAAAGATATGTAATAAATTTTGTGTTTCCTCATTTGCACTTCTGCGATTTTTTCCTCGAAGTTTTCCCCTCCCGTTTGGCGAACGAACCGAGCACACTGAACTGCAATGCCAGCAATGATTTTATTTCTTACTGTTGATTATTGTGTGCGTTTTTCGCATTTATGTAGTGCAAAAAAGCATGTTTTTGAGAGGCTGTCTGTGAGTGTGTGTGTCTGTGTGGGTGTGTGTGCCAATGTACCTGTGTGTGTCTGTAGTGAACTTTCATCTCGAGATCTACAAAAGCTGAAACTTCGGCAACCTGTTCTGCACATACTTACGGGCCTCTATCTTCAGAATGGACGCTCACATCCCCGTGGTGCCCACGTACGGGTAAGTAAAATTTTTTTGGCGGGAAAACGAATTCGGGAACGGCGCAAGCTAGAAGACTGAAATTTCGCAGAGATGTTTTTTAGCCATGTCTAATACAAGGATTTCAAATTCAGCTCTAGCGTACCCTGAGAAGCAGAAAAACCGAGGGGCTGGGAATGTTCCCTACTCATGTACGATTAAAAGATTTCAAATTCAATTCTTCTGATGCGGTCTTTTTCACGCACCAGCAACTTTTCATTAGTCGAATCACTAATGACAGCATCTACAGCTGACATGCCACATAGCTGCATAATTAACTTTCTAAACTTCGAGGTTCAGTATGTCACAAATTCTAACCAGTGGGATTTCAAGCGTTTTTACTACAGTACGAAATAGTGCAAAAAAACCTTTGATGCATCATCTCAGTATACCAGAAAGTCGAATTACTGGTGAAAAAACTGCTGCATGAAGATTGTATATACTTTCCCTGGCTTTTCTCTCAGTCAAAAAACAACACAGTGAGTAATCTGTAAGAATCCCACTTCGTATTCTTACAGATTCCGAGGCCAAGCCTTCAGTCCTGGGCAACGTACCTTCGTTTTGTATTCACCGTCTGTTCGGTTGTACGCATGCCACTTACCCGGAGGCTGCTTGAGCGAATATTCATTCACAGGTGAAA